TTTGATCTAATCCACAATGCTCAAACTTTTTACTGATAATAATTCAACTGACGGTCTTCCCATTAAACGACTGACCAACAAACTCACACATTTATATTCACGGTGTTGAATGGATCATATTTTGTATTCTGATTATTTTGCACTATCAGAGGTGATCACAATGATATTTGAACTAGGAATGTGTTTTTACCACAGATATTTGATTTTATTAACATTCCATTGCTTTTGTGTTCCCCTATTGGACCATAAAGCTTCAATAGCCATGGTGTTTAATACGCTGTAGGGGGTTGCTAGTCTCACACCCAGCCCCCTACCCCTCTTCCTCGAAGTTACGATCGACCAAAGAAGGTAAAGATATCTGCCGACTGATTGGGTGTTGAATCTCGGTGAGCATTCTGCGCTGAACTACTGACTCATAAACCATTGGCATTTATATTTATTCCTTTACGTTTCCATTGGAACATAGAGCTTCACCATAGATTTCTGAAGTTTCGGTAGCAGTGGTTTTATGTTTACCGGATGGATAGGGTTGCCCAACCTTCCCTCTTTACCGGCCTTACAACCAGTTTAGCGATGTTTAAGAGGAGTCCATCTAGCGAGGATTGAACCTTGGGCGCCACATTGACATGGTCGGCGAGCATTCAACTACTGAACTGCCAACGCGCAAAGCATAGATAGGTATTGTGAACATCTTGGAGAAGAAATTCGCGATGATAGTATCATCGAACGATTATTGAAACCACACGTTGAGTAACACGTAAATTCTGGAGGCACAGGATTTGTCTAAAATGCGGTATTATATATATATATATATATATACAGACCTCAATTGTGAAGTGTTTTTGGCTGAATGCCGTGAAAAAAGCACAGTCAATAATGCACGTCAACAAGTAAAAACAACAGAAGTGTTGTTTCAAATATAATTTTATACTACTTAGGATTAGTAAGTAGCATAAATTTAACACAAAAGAGAGATAGAGAATAGTAAAGAACAGTACATATGTATAGTCTACAATGTTGTCTTTTATTCCATATTATTTACCCACTCTTTATCTTCTACAAATATTGTTTCTCCCTGTCTATATATATATATATATTGTTGCTAACTGTTTAGAAACAAAATGCTAGTTGCTTGTTTAGCTCTCATTATTATTCCTTTTAAGACTCTTAATCTTTGTGGGTGTGTTTGCGTGTTTTCCTCCTATTGTCTGATTCCCCTATCTACCTGCCTTCTCTCCTTATATCATTGCTGTAATTTCTTATATATTAAAAATAATGATGGTAGCTCATAGCTAGCTAGGCATCACTTATTTTCCAGGCTCTGACCAAATATTTATTTTTCACATTAGTTGTTCTTTCTCTCTAGTACAATCAGTTACCATAGTTACTACTGTCATATATTCTCTTCTTTTAGTACTTTATATACTACTGATAATATATTCGGTGTTACAATAAGAATGCTGGAGTTTCTACTCTCCCTTATATATATGTATATAATTTATTCGCGTGTATTCCATGTCTGTCCTCTGTGTATGTGTTGATGGTGTTTCTCCCATACGATACGGGGGAAAACTAACCACCGGATCAAAGGTCAATAATTGACCCCCTGAAAATTATATATATATATATATTATAAACTGTTAATCAGGGGGAAAAATAAATGAGTGTAAGCCTTAAACATAAGAGAGGGAAGAGTGAACAAAACACCCCATTGCTCATTCAAAGCAGATATGTGTGTGTGTGTGTGCGCGTTTGTGCATGCTTGTCTTTTGACCTTCTCTCTCTCTCTCTCTCCTTCTTGTTGGTTTCCTAAGTATTTCTGTATTATTTATTTGAGATTATTATGATTATAATTACTGTGTTGACTCACATGTGTTATATTGTATTCAGTTGTTTCCTGTATTTTATTTCAGTTAGTCATTGTCTAATGTTATATTAATCGTGTTAAACACAGTTTCTTCTTTTTTATTTTTCCACCTTTATGGTGACTTCTTTGTTCGACACATATTCAGTTAATTAATATCTACATATATACATCTAATATGTACATGTTTACGGAAATATTATTGTAACATGTAACAGGTAAACCCTCAGTCAGATTGTCCCAAATTAAATAACTTTCTGTCGGAAATTAGTCAGTGGTTGTCCTCTTCAAACGCGGTCTTAAGCTAAATCCGTCTAAATGTCAGGTAGTCAGTGTCACTTTCAGATGTCAACGTGACCTACAACAACTACCTAGTTGGCTCACACGGCCCCACTGTCAAGTACCTTGGGCTGAGTTTTTCCACCGATCTTTCCTGGCCCTTCCACATCTTGCTACTAGTTACTAGAAAGATGTTTCACTTAACGTTCTATGTTAGGAAATTTAGGCAATCTGGCATAAAGCAGTCTTTGCTTTCTCAGTTTGTCAATTCTTGTATTCTACCCATCCCCCTTTACTGCTCCCCATTAATTTAATCTTTCCTGGACTACTTAAGAAAGACTTTGCTTTGCTGAGAACGGCAGGCACTAAAAGCCGTTAGTAGGGCAAGTGGGATATTGTTAACCTGACTGTTTAACCACTATTGTGGATAGACATATAATGTCATGTAAGAAACTAGCGAATACAATATTGTCAGACCCCGAGAATCCTCTCTATACACAGCTGTCTCCTTGCATTTCATCTGGTAGAACTAAAAGCAGCTATAGGATGCTATATGTTAAGACTACCAAGTACAAGAACTCCACAATAACATATCTGGCAGAGCTGTTATGTGGTGAGAAATCCGTTAGGTATGACACGATAAACTTACTGCGGCACTCTAACAAATAGTCCCATTAGTTTTTTTTTCTTTCCTCGTTACTATTACACTGTTGTTCTTATCTTCTATTATACACCAATTTTATACTTCATATCCTGTGATGTATTGTTTGAGATGTAAACGCAAAGCTGTTTTCTTTTTCTTATTATTTGTCTTTTTTGGGGTGTTGCTTTTTGATTTTAAAATCTTATAAAATTTATGAGGTAATTAGATGCAATATATTGTAATGCACGCTGAAAATTCCCTAATTGTACCACAAATACTGTTTGGAATAAAGCTGTTACTATTATTATTATTATTATACCATAACTCTGGGATTTAGCGGGACTTTAGGGTAGGAGGGCGGATGGTGAGTGAGTTTAGTTTGAAATCCAATGTGTTACATAAAGATTGATGATGAATTAACACCAGTTAGAAGGCTCATTACCGATTGAGATGGTTGGAGCATGTGTTATTCATGTATGTGTCTATGCATCAATAGCCTTCCTCGACGACAGGAAATGTTAGCTGACTGACATAGGATCGGGTTGGAAAAGAGCTAGTGATGGTTAAACACCAGACAATGAAATCCATTAAAGTTAGTTTAAGCCAGCCAACCAACCACGTAGGAAGGTGTAGACTGGCTTCTTGATTGGTTAGAGTCCTCGGGATGGTAAAAACCTATGAAGACTGGAGATATAGACATTTGGTAATATGACTTGAAATTCTCGTTCACAATGGCTGGAGCGGAGATGCATTCACTCTTTAATGGTGATTTATTATATCCAATAAAACTCTATTGATTTGCCGATATTACTATTCTTTTTTGCCTGACTCATACTTCTATTGGTTTGTATGGTACAATGAAGAGTAGGAAGTATAATAACTCGGAGTGGTCTGTCTGTCTGTCTGTTTTCGACATAGAACTTTGCACAAATGTGCGGAAGTTCAAGTCGCCACATTCCGTGTAGCACGCGAAGCAAGAGAAGAAAGTACAAGAAAAACATAATAGAAACAGTGAGCAGAGGTCTGAGACAAAGGAGAAATAAAGAAAAACAAAACAGTTTCATTGAAGATCATATGTCACAGGGAGTGGATGCATCTACGCCACTGAGAACGGTTTTGAGCCATGTCACCAATTGTTTCCAACCATAGATTTTTACCGTCCCGAGGACCCCAGCCTGGAAGTCTACACCTTTCTACGTGGCTTAGACCAACTGTTGTGGATTTCATTGACTGGTGCCAAGTTTTTGTTTGACCGCCGCTAGCTTTTTTCCAGCCTGACCCTATATCCGCTAACATTGCTCGTCGAGGGAGGCGATGACTAGGTGTGCATACGTAACACATGTCCTAACCATCTCAGTCTTTGTAGCTTCACGACTTCGTCGATTGATTTCCCCTGTTTACCTAGAACTCTACGCCTAACCTCAATATTGCTCACCTTATTATACCACTTTACACAGGTAATAGAGCGGAGGCATCTATAATCAAAGACAGCTAGTCTCTTCATGTCTTCCACTCTCAGTGGCCAGGTCTCACAGCCAACCATAAAGGAGGACGGAGCGGACTGATGAGCAGTACACCCGCCCTTTGGTCGATAGTCAAACATCTCGTCTACGCCAGAGACGGCGTAAACTAACAAATGCGAAACGAGCCCCTTGTATTCGTGCTGAGATTTCGTCAGAGATCAGCCCGTTGGCACCGGCTGATGGTACTTCCCAAATAAGTGAAGCGGTCAACGTGCTCTACCACTTCACTTCCTATTTTTAAACTAGGCGTCGATGTAGTCCAGTCCTGTAACATCATCTTGCATTTGGCGGGAGCGAATCGCATGCCAAACATTCGTAGATTGCGGCTCAAGGTGTTTAGAAGACTCTGCATTTTGTCAGCGTCTTCGCCTAGAAGGACTATATCGTCTGCATATTCCACTTGTGCACTTGTGTGTGTGTGCAAAGTTCTGTGTTGAAACTAGTCAGTCAATTTATTGATCCACAATCGCTTATTGTGTTTTTTGCATAACGAATAGACCGACAGATGAGATTACCTTGTGTGCTTATCAGTAACATTGTCGTATGAAGATCTGAGATGACACACAAGATTGAATTTCTGAATAGTAGTCATGCATACCATTTAAGTACAAATTATTTTGCTTTAATATTTGCATAATTGTATTTACAAGTATTTTAGCAATTTTGTTTTCTCTTTCATATATAATCTCAGGCTCGTGAAGAAAGTCTTCGTCAACAGGCTCGTTTACTAAGACGTCAAGAGGAGAAACGATTACGTGCTGAACGACGTGCTATGGCTTTAGAATTAGGCTCAGTTCTTGGTGATGATGATGATGCTGATATTACAGACTCATCGTCTGTTTCTTCGTCCAACGCTTCAAGCAGTCGGCATCGAAGTAGTCGAGTACAAAGCAGTAGGCGGTGTGAATTCTCACCAATTCGTCGTAGAACAACATCAGTTTATTCTACCTATGATGCATCTACTGGTCGAAGATATTCCCCTCCAAGTTTTACACGTAGTCGATCACGAACAGATACAGAGAAAAAAGGACTTTTAGGCAGTCCATCCTCTGGTAGTAGAGATGATAGACTACCATCACCACCACCGCCGCCGGTGTCTTCTTCAAATCCACGTTCATCTTTCAATGACTCATCAAACTGGAAACGTGATGTTCAAGGTAAGAGGAAGCACTAGTCTGTTTCTCTTTGATTTGTGAAAATGTGTTTACTTTATTTGCATACAAGATGTTTCATTGTTTGAAATGACCACAATTCAAGAAGTACATATAAATTCTTACGGAATATACGCACATTGGATCATAGAAAATATATTAAAAAGACGGTTTCAACGAAGAGAATTTACTTTTCAACAAAACCGTCATCAACTAGATAGATAGTTGTAGATTCGTGTATTTGTAGTAAATGTGTGAGAAAGTTCCAGAACTAATTCCTGTCAAAAGTTAAATCAATGGAATTACAAAGTGTAATCCATCAGGAAGATCGCGTAGAAAGACATACATAAGGAGAGTATAATTACTGGGAAAAAAATTTCACTGATTTTTCAATTCCGGGTTAAAGCCGTAGTAATAAAACACTATCCTGCATGGGTTAGCAAAGGCAAAACGCAAGGGTGTAAACAGTTTGATAATAGAACATCTGGTGAATAATAGAAGACACTGAACTCCATTTGTGAAAAGCCTTTCGAAGTCATACAAGATCCGATTGAACTACTCTTTCAAAGGAAGTGAATTCAAGGCATCTAGGAATAGCTGAGACACTTATTATAATTATTGCTCCCTTGGGTTCCTAGTGGAACATAGGGCTTCGACTGCACGTCTCCACTTGCTTCTGTCTGCTGTACTTTTCACCTGAATCCATGTTAGTCCATACTCTTTCAACTCCTCTTCACACTATCTCCTCCATGTCACCTTCGCACTGACGTCCCACTCGCCACTTGCTTCCCTTTCGGGTTCCACTCAAGGGCTTGACGCGCGATGTCACCAACCGGCCTCCTCAGCGAGTGTCCGATCCATCTCCACTTTCTCCTGCATATTTGTTGGGTGATTGGTTTTTCTTTTTGTTTGTCCCCATAGTTTCTTGTTGGGGATTCTTTCCAGCCCGACCATCTGATCTTCAGTATAGAGCGAAGACAGTTTTAGTGGTTGATAAAAGTCTGCAATAGCCTGTTGGAAATATTCTTTGTGACCCGCCAGCCAAGTTTCTGATCCGTATAGAAGAAATGACTTGTTTAAATATCTGTAATACTTAATTTTGCTTTTTTTAGGATCTGCTTCAAGAGATCGAACCGGTAACTCTTTACTCGGCAGCCCTGTTCAATGTTCTTATTATAGTGCAAGGGAAATGTCACTACAAAGTCCTAGTAGTTCCCGGCCGGATAGACGCTATAATTCCTACAGATCTTCTCTATCATCACGCGATTCAGGACAATATTCTACGACTACTACTACTGATAATTCGTACAGACCGAATCATCAATCCTCTTACAGACGGTGAGTATCTCACACATACGCCACTTTATGTTGGATTGTTTAATACTTTTGTATTCACAGTGTGAATTTCTAAGATTTGTTGGTGTGTTTTATGTGATGCTTTTTAGTTTTGGAGTGTATCCATGCAACATCTTTGTGTTCGGAATCCAAAATAGGGCTTCAACAGCAGCACACCTCCAGATTCAACCACCATGTGAAACTGCTTCTATTTCCTCTTCACATGATTTACTCTATCACCTTTAGATGCTGACAAAATGCAGAGTCTTATGAACACCTTGAGCAGCAGTCTTCGTATGTTTGGCATGCGATTCGCCCCTGCAAAATGTAAGATGCTGTTACAGGACTGGACTACGTCAACTCCTAGCTTAGTGATAGGGAGTAAAGTGATAGAATATGTTGACCACTTCACCTATTTAGGAAGTTGTATCAGCACCAACGGACTGATTGGTGACGAAATCTCAGCACAGGTCCAAAAAGCTCGAGCTGCTTTCGCTGACTTACACCATCTCTGGCGTAGGCGTGATATCCGGCCATCAACCAAGGGACGTGTGTATTGCTCATCAGTTCGCTCCGTCCTTCTCTATGGCTCTGAAACATGGTCAATACGAGTTGAAGACATGAAAGGGTTGACTGCTTTCGATCATAGATGTCTGCGATCTCTGTCTCACGTTAAGTGGTTTAATAAGGTAAGTAATGTTGACGTTAGACGTAGAGTGTTGGGCAGAGAGGGAAAATCAATCGACGAGGCTATAAAGTTACATAGATTGAGATGGCTAGGTGACGTGGTGCGCATGCCTAACCATCGCCTCCCCCCCCGTCGACGGGCATTACTAGCTGATATAGGTGCAGGTTAGAAAAGAGCCAGTGGTGGCCAAACAAAAACATGGCCTCATCAATCCATGAAATCCTTGACAGTTAAACTGAGTCAGGTAGGGAGGGAGATGCAGACTTCCGGGTCGGGGCCCTCGGGACTCTAGGAATCAATGGCTGGAGACAATAGGTGACATGGCTGAAAATCGTTGTCAATGGCCAGCGCAGATGTATTCAGTCTCTGTAATCTTTCATATTCCTTTCTACCATTACCCATTCTGTTTCACTCTTATACTTGTCAGACTGTATTGATTCTCTTCACGCATCTTTTTGTCTACCTTTGTGTGCTATTTGGAATCTGGCGACTCGAACTGGTGCACTTCGGTGACAAGTCCTATGTTGAATCCAGACAGACAGACTTTTAGACGCCTGACTTGTCGCTTCCGATTCGGCTTTCACTTGATGACCTGACACACGAGGTCGTTTAACGGTGTCTTCACCGTATTCCTCGTCCATCTCCATTTCCCTGGGCATATTCTTCGTTGGTCAATTGTTCCTTGTTTAGTTACAGGATTTCATCACGAGCTGACATTGTTTAGAGAACCATTGGAAAACTGGCTCACTGGCGACTTGCCCTATTCAGACAGGTAGTTAGTTACCTGGGGTTCTAGTGTGAAGGTGTGACAAGTAGGGTGCAGCAGGTCGAGTGTGAGGATAAATACTCGCCCCTGAAGATATTGGCCAGCGGTCGCGCTATGTCGTGAATTATTGGTAGAAGTTAGAATTCATGGGCCATTGGACCGGGTCGAGTCCAAATAGCTTAATGGTCTGCGAGCTCGCCTTGTAACCAGAAGGTCCTGGGTACGAACCTCCTGTGGTGGATGCGTACTACTAGCTTGACGAAACAGCTGTCGAGTACTCCCTGTAGGCTTTCCATTGGTTCTCTAACCAATGTCAACTCATGATGAAATCCTGTAACCAATCAATGGAACCCCTACAAACCAACACTTGTTCCTTGGTTAGTTTCTTGTCAATCCTTTCTAGCCATCCGATCTCCGGTATGAAGCAAAGCTAACAGTTAGCGAAAGTCTGCAACCTGTTGGAAATGCATTTAAGTGTCGCGTACTCTAAGTCCCTGGACCTTATAATGTTCGAAATTCGGATCTTTCTCTTCATGTTGAGTACAGCTGATTTTTACACTGATGTCAGAATAATGAACATAAATTATTGTGATAATTGGATCATTATTATTATTATTCCTTTGGATTCGGAGTGGTAAATAGGTCTTCAACAGCACATCTCCACTTGGTTCAGCTCCGTGCTATCCTCTTCCTCTTGGTCCACGACTGCTCATAATCTCTCGTCTCCTCCTCCATGTCACCCTCTGACCCACGCTCAACTCGTTGCTTTCCATTGGGATACTACTCGAGCGATGTCATTCAACTGTCTCCCTATTGGTGTGTATCCAATCCATTTCCATTTTCTCCTATATCTTTATTTAGCGATCAGCTCTTGGTTGGTTTGTTGCCAGCCAGAGTTTGTTGTACCGAACTCTTTCTGACCGGCCGGCCGGCTGTCCATTTGATCTTCAGTATGGAGCTAGCCAGCGAAAGTGGTGGCAGCTGTTGATAAAAGTCTCGAACTTGTTGGAAATGCTTTTCATGACGCACAGTACAAGTTTCTTACCCATATGGAAGAAGTGACTGGCTCCACAGTTAGCATAGTTTCTAAGTTTTGGTTATATCTACTGATAAGCCTAGTCAACTTAATAGACATGAAAAGGCCGGATAGCTGATAATGATTATTATTATTATTGTATCCTTTAATTCCTAGAGGAACATAGGGCTTCACCCAAGCGTCTCCATCGCGTTCGGTTTTCTGCCAACTTTTTCACCCCGCTCCAAGTTTGCCCATATGCTTTCATCTCCTCTTCACATTACCTCCTCCAAGTCACCCCACCCTTGGACGACCAACTCGCCGCTTCCCTTTTGGGTTCCACTCGAGTGATGGCTTGTCTAGTGATGTCACTTGATGGTTTCCTCAGGGTATGACCAGCCAATCCATCTCCATTTATTCCTGCCTATTTGTTTCACAATCGGTTCCTGCTGGGTTGGTTCGCTCACTGCCAGAGATCCGTCACTGTTTCTGATCTTTTCTGGCCGGCCATCTGGTCTTGAGTATTGAGCGAAGACATCTGTTAATGAAGGTTTGAAGTTTGTTTGAGATGCTCTTTATAACTCGCCAAGTCTCTGATCCGTATAGTAGCACTGACTTTACATTGGAGTTGAAAATTCGGATCTTATTTTTGATGCTGAGTAGTACTGTTGACCTCCACACAGACTTGAGAGTAATGAAAGCTTGTCTTGCTTTTCCGATTCTGTCTTTGATATCCTCGTCAGTTCCGTCTGTATTTGAAACGATGCTTCCCAGGTAGGTGAAGGAGGTTGTTTTTTTCAGGTTCCTCCCATTTATGCTGGCTGATTGTTGTCTGTTGTTGTTGCTGCTGTTGGCATTGCCCAGGAATCTTCATCACCCCTGTTTTCTCTATGTTCACCTGAAGTGCTATTTTTGATGCTTCTTGTGCCAACTTGTTGCTCTTCACTTGCATATCTTCCTGTTTGTGGGAAATCATACATATATTATCGGTGAAGTCCAGATCCTCCAAGTTTTTTGTGTGAGTCCATTTTATGCCTGTTTCCTCATTGTCCGGCCCGTTGTTTGTCGCATTATCCAATCTACTGCAATCAGGAAGATCATTGGCGATAGTAGACAGCCTTGTCTCACTCCCGTCCTCACTTCGAAGGATTCCGTAAGTTTCCCATTGTGGATTACTTTGCATGCAGCATTGTCGTATAACTGTTGGATGAGATGTATAATTGTCGATGGCACCCGTTGGTAGTAGCGAAGTAGTTTCCAAATGACCACTCGATTGATGCTGTTGATGTTGTTGAAGGCCTTTTCAAAGTCGATGAAGTTGAGTGAGTTAGAGAGGTGACTGCCATTCCAAGCTTTGTTCAATGATGATAATGATCATATGTGCCTGCTTTCCATCTCTCAAGTTATATGGTAGGTGTAATAGAGTAAGTAATTCTGAGATGAGATTACGCCTCGGTGTCGAGCCTCTACCTTGAAGCCTTATGTCCCGCTGGAAATGTAAAGGAAATAATAATCATAATAAGAAGTTCAACAAAAAAACGAGTGGACACATCTCCTGGATTGTGTTTGGCGTATTGTTGTTGTTATATTGACCAAGACATATAAGCAAACAATATTGTTGTTTTCAATTAGATCTTCTTCAGGCTTTACTCTGATTTACATAGACTTATATATATAAAATTTTAACCAATGACAGTGATTTTGTGGATCAAATAATAATAGTAATCATAATAATAATAGTAATAATAATGTGGTAAATGTTTAGAACGAAGTTAATAACGATGATTATAATGATAACAAAATATTGTTAATAAGGCTTATATAGGTGATAAGAATAACAAAGTTAGTATATGCATATATGTAGACAATTCAATCAATAAATAAATTAGGTCAAATCAAATGGAACGATAATCAGAGTTTAAATAAATTATATATATCCAAACCAAGTTCACTTTTAACGGTTTGAAAAAATTTGGGCATTGGGTATATGATATTCATTATAATAGAGGTTTTTTGTATTTCCCAATGAATGAAAAAACAAAACGAGAGTTTAAATAAATATCACAGAAGTACGAAGGAGAGGGATGATGAGAAAGGGTGGGAGGATTTTGAATAGAATTCACCTAGGCAAGGAAGGGAGAGACAAAGGTAGAACAAATTTCTTTTGTATACAAAGACTAGGATTGTTCTCTCGAATTCTCATAGCTTCGGCTAAGTGTAAAAGACGGGTTCTGATTCCGTTCGGAAGACTTGATGGAATGCGGTAAATAACTTTGAAAGCACTACTTTTGTCCACTTGGTGACCACTATCAATCAAATGAGCCAAAATAGAACTTCGTATGGATTTTATTTGACCTTTTCCGGACCATGAAGGAAGATGGTCATTAATGCGTTTGTTAAGCTGTCCAGTTGTTCGGCCTATATAGCCTTTCTCCACAGGAGCAACTAAATTTATAGATACACATGGAAGTGGCACAACTAGGTAGCTGCTTATCTTTGTATTGACCGTTGTAAAGCAGGTGAAGTGTGTAGTG